CTTCCTGGGCTTCAGGAGGCTATTGGCTTGAAAGGGAGGGGAGCCCTGAATAGGAGGACACAGATGGGGGAGCGGTAGAGGGTCCTTTGGGGGTTCAGGAGGATGTGGGGCCTCTGGAGTTGTGAGTGATGCAGGAGATGTGGGATGGGCTCTGGGGACCACACATGGGTAGGTAGATGGATGCGCTCGGTCTTTGGTGCTGCTCTAGGGGTCCCTGGATGGCTGGGATTTCCCTCTCTGGCCCCTGAAAGTCTCGGCTCAGAGCCCCGCATTCCAGCCGGCTCCAGCCCCCTTTCTGCTGTCACTTGACTCCGCTGGGCCCCAGCCCTGCAGCCCTCCCACTCCTCTAGCTTGGGGCTGGGGCGAGGTGGGCATCACCGACTAGGAATTTCTCCTGAGGGAGAAGAGGGAACAAGGGTTTCAGGATCCTGTGGTTTCTTCTACTTTCCGCAGTGGACTCCTCTGTCTGGCACCGCCATGCCACCTGGCTGGGGTCAGCGTGGGCTTGGGGTGTGAAATGTCCCACTGGGGTGTGAGGGACTGCTGCTTCTTCCCTGAGGGGTCTGGCTGCGGCTCAGCCCTGCCGCTTGCCCGGGGCTTCCCGGGAGCACAGCCCCTGGAAGGAGGGGCTGAGAGTCCGCCCTGGTAAGGTTACTTGGGAAACCTTGGCTCCACCCACCCCGGCGTGGCTCCACCCCCGGCCCAGGTTCCCCAGCGGCCGTCTCCGGAGGGGTAGGTGCGCCGGGGAATCCCGGGGGTTTGGTAGGAGGGGACGATGGAAAGAGGCAAATCTCAGAGTGGCCATGGGGCTGTCTATTGAGTCCCTTAGCAGTTGGGGCGTCCTAGGGTTTATGTGTTGACCTGTAGGTTGGAGTTCGTACCCATATGTGCCTTGGCCTCTCCCAGGGGCCAGCCTCTTCCTGGTAGTGCTTTGTGTACTTGTCTGGGACTTCGTGTTTCTTTCTTGGGAGTGTTGTCTGGAACTGCACGTAGGGTGAGTTTATACGTATCTGCTGTGAGGTGCAGTGGGGCCCATATCTGCTATGGAGTGAGACCTTACTCTGCAGGTGATTGGCAAGTGGGGTGTGGAGAGAGGTGGTGGGGTCCGAGGTAGAGGTGGTGCTGAGAGGGGGTAGGGGGTCGGGGGTGTAGGGGTGTGTGGGTTTGGGGACTGGAATCCCTCCCACAACTCTCTGTCCTGCCCACCTCAGCCAGTAGCCGGGGAGAGCGCGTGCTCTCTCTCTCTCATTGGATCTGTTTACTCAGTCTCTGCACCCATCTTGCCCGGGGTCTCTGGTACTATTCCTTTTTGGCTGTGTGTGCTTTTCTCTTTACCTCCCTATCCTCCTCCTCCTCCCCACCACTCACCTTGTCCAGGCCTATCCTTGCCAGTGGTCAGACCCTCCAACCCCACCATGGCCAGAGCTGGCTGGGCCTGAGGGAGACCTGCCCTGAGGGGGACTTCTGGGCTTTGAGCAGGGAGCCCAGGGGAACCAGGGCCTTGGAGTCTGGACTCTAGGGTCATTGAGAGGACGGGGTGGGCCCTGGACGGGGTGGGCCCTGGAGAGTTGAAGGAGGAACTTAGAGGAAGAGGCTGAGTGGAGAGGGGCTGGGGCTGGGTTGGGGTGTAGAGGACCAGAGGCTCAGAGGGTGCCAGAGAGAAGCAAGGTTGGTGGTGTGAAAAGACGGTCTAGGAGGCCTGGGTGGACAGGTGAACCCTGCTCCCTTCCCCCATTCAAACTTCTGCTGCTGCTGGACCGGGCACCGGGCCTGTGGGAACCTGCTCCTTCCCTGTGCCCTGGGGCTGCTCCCCTTCACCTCCCTCTGCAGGAACTGAGCCCAGAAAAGGAGAAGTAGGAGGGGGGCATCCCCTCGTGGCACCTGGGAGTGTTGGAGGCCCTGAGCTGGTCCGCAGCTGGCCCCTGGGGCCTCAGCTTCGGATCTCCTTTGTGGGGATCCAGGGAGGTGGGCCGTGGGTGGGTGGAGGGGGATGGGCACGCAGC